GCGTCCCGTTGACGCCGCCATCCCATGGCTCAGGGCTTGGTGGGCGAGAAATGGCCGAACGGCTAGCTGATCACCGTCCGCAAAGAAGTCAATGATTTTTTGTCTACCAGACTGAGTGTCCTACGGTACGTTCGCGATGCGATGGCTGAGAGCCAAGACCTGCAAAAAGAATATGCAGATGAAAAAAGGAAGAGGCAAAGTAGAAAGCTTTAAGGTCGAGGACCTGGTTTTATTGAATTAAATAAACCTGCCTACACATGCAGCCTCTGCTATCTTCCGAACGAAGCTTCGTCCACGGTTTATTGGAACGTTTAAGGTTGTGGCCAAACGAGGCCTGGCATACACGCTGAGCTTTCCGATACGGATGCCCCCACCCGGTGTTTTCCGTGGGATTGCTCAAGCCGTACCGGGATCCGGCGCAGGTGAACACGGAAGCGATGGTGCCGGAGCGGATCTCACTGGCCTTCGGCCACCCAGAAGTTGAATCAGCAACTGGTTCTGAGCACGGAGTGCAACAACCTCCATTTCCAATGGTGCCAAGCGCTCCACCGTCGATTGCAGCGACGCATTCGCCTGCTCCACGGCTGGGGGTCGCTCCAACTGAGCGCGGTTGTTCTCAAGGTGAGGCAGCCGGCGCACGACGTGCACTAAATCGTCAAGAGCGTCTGCACAGCGATATACTACCTCAGCATGACGCTCGTCGGAGCTCTGATTACCAAGGACCTTGTCCTCAAGGGCTCGAAGAGCATCACGAGTCACCGGACGGCGGTCGATTATGTCGTCTCCGCCCACCACCGACTATTCTCGATGAGAACGGTGACGTCCACTATCGCGCGGAACGTCTAGTACGACGACGTCGTTACCAGGGTCAGACCCAATATCTTGTGAAGTAGCGGAGAGATCCCGACTCTGAAAACTCGTGGGAGTTTGAGGCACCACTTCGGCAAGATTGCCCAGTCGCCGTGGACGCTTTTGATCGGAACGATCAGGACGTTTCGCGCCATCAGACGCCTCGCGCTTCCCGGCAATAGCCAGGAAAGTAGAAGGGCCATAAGCTGAGCTCAAGCAGTGGCCCTGAGCTCTTGCGGTCGGAGACACAGAGCTCGCGGGAGCATTAGAGGTTGTTAACCCATACGTCGCAGGGCTACAATCTGGAGGAAGTCGACGGCATGCCTTGAGTTTGGCAAACTCAGAGCGGAAGTGTCGCTCTGCACGCACGACAACTTCGTTGTGGCTCAACTGCAGATTATGCAGTGAGGAAAGTTTTCGGTGCCGTTGCGCCCATCGCTTAAAGAGCGCTTCGTCATCTGAAGTGCTTTCGCCAGGGGCGAGAATTACAGGTATTGTCCGCATTGTGGGTACACGAGAGCCACCTCGTTGTGCACTCAGAGAGTCCAACGGAAATTCTTGTGGAACCAAGATACGAGCTCGAAGAGATTTCCGTTTGGCAAGCTCATCTACCTAATGGCTGGGGGCCTGATGATGTGGAGGCGTAACAATCGAGTTACCACGTCCTTCGCTTCCACAGCGGGATTCGCCGAGCGGAAGCCATATTCCACACGAGGGTCAATGACCGACCGTGGATAGGCGCGCATCAAAGCA